TTTGCTGGGGAGATGGATGACAAATGGACGGCGTTCACAAGGAGATGGATGGTGTTATAACAGCAGTCAATGGAAGGATTCCGATTGGCTTTTTCAGATAGAGAGATGATAATGGATTTACCTACTTCTTTCTTCTCTCTTCACTAAACCCCTTCCTCAATCTTCCTCTACCACCAGCACCAAGAAAGGAAATGTGATTGAGATGAGAGAAATGAGCAAGAGATAGGAAATCTAAAAGAAGATGGAGGGGTGTTTGGTGCTCAAATCTCAGCAGAGCAAGCAAACCCAAAACACCACAAGTCAGCTCAAACCGCAGAACCCAACTTTCTCTTTCCATGATCGACGATCAGCGACTAGATTTTGCGAGAATCAATTAAAACTCAGAAAAGGAAATAAATCAGCATACTTAAACACTAAACACTGTAAAAACAGAAAGAGTTAAAAGACTCAAAAGTCATATTCCAAGAGAGTAAAGGGGAAACAGAGCACTGAAGGCAAAACAGAGAAAACAGATTCTGTGAGAGGGGTGGAGGCAACGGACAAAAGAATTGAGATCAAAAGGACCATAGAGCCAATTCCATGAGAGAAAGGTAGAAAGAACAGTAGAGGGCAAAACAGGAAAGTGAGAGAAAGTACAGTGTCAGCAAGTGTTAGCAAGAGAAAGAAAGAGGATGGGCAATGAGGTGAGAGAAAGGAGGAAGAGTTACAGCAAAAAGAGAGACAGGAACGTGCCAGAACTCAACTTTCGTGTCCTTTGGTTTAGATTTAGATTTAGATTTAGATTGACCCGAGCACTTTTCTAGTTTTTAAGAAAACCCAAACAACAGAAAAACAAGAGGATGTCTTCGTTCAAAAAAGAAGAGGGGGTTCGGCAGCCAAAACAAAAAACGAGAGTCTTCTTCTTCTCCTCCCCAGCTTCTTTCCAGCCCCCCTGATTTCCATCTCACCACCATCCTTGCCGATCATCTCTTGGGCAATTTTCTGAAAATGTGGACCATTCATCTCGTTTCATAGCCATAGCCGCAAGAAGAAAAATTTCAGATCTGGGGGTTTTGAAGAGAGGAAGAGCTGCACAACTACTTTGAAGGGGATTCGAACAGAAAGGAGGGAAGCAGCTAAAAAAGAAAAGAAAAGAAAAGAAAAAAAAAAAAACCAGAGGAAGGGCAGCAACTGAAAAAAAAAAATCTTTCTTCTCCAACCTTCAACCTCTTCCAGCCCAAAAAACTTCCATCTCACCATCATCTTTGCCGAGCTTCTTTCAGATCTCTTCTCCTTGATTTCCTGAGTTATTTATTTTATTTATTTTTTCATTGATTTTTCCCCCAGGCTTCCTTCTCTAGTCCCGATTCTCTTTCAACTTTGAGATCTACTTCAACCCCAGCATTCATCATCATCATCATCATCACCGAACGGACACCGAAGTCTGGCTGGAAGGGAGGAACCAGAAAAAATCAGGGGAAGAAGAACAGAGGATCACGAGAGAGAATTTTAGGTTCTTTCAAGGAGGATTTTTCCGGACGGAATTGTTGTGGCTTGCTGGAGGCGAAAAAACAGAGAGGAAAAAGCAAGCTTTGACAGCATATTTGTGGGTGTTCTTGTTTAGGTAATCTTCTGGGGGGTTTTTATTCATATTCATGGATGGGCTGTGTTCCTGGTTTGGGTACAAGAAATAGAAAAAAAAAAAAAGGTAATAGTGAGTAACCATCTTTCCGTTATTTATTTTATCTCCATGTCATGTAGGTAGTTAACAGAGTAATAAATTGATTATGATAATTACTTGAGTGTTGGGTTAAAATAATTAGTTAATTTTAACTAGAGTAAATTAATTATATTTATTATTTTTAATTAAAATAATTAGATTTATTTAATTATTTTAATTATTTATCTAATTAATTTAATTAAAAATTAATAAATATGATCAATTAATTCTAATTAATTTTAATTAATGTTAAATTAACTATTCAATCAAATTAATTATTATGATTTATTAATTTTTAAAATTATCTACCTTTTTTAATCAAGTCAAAACAAAAAGTCAAAATTATCTTTTATTTTACTTTAATTTCATCCAAAACTTTCGTGATTGAGCAATTTGGTCCATTATCTTTTAGATAATTTCAAATCAATCCTTTAAATTTTCAATTTTATCAAATTAGTCCTTCAACGGTTTTCTTTTTTTGTTATCTTGATTCTAAGATAAATGTGTGTGATGTATAAACAGAGGTCTTGCCCTTAAGAAGTACAATTCATTCCTTCCTTCTAAATCAGTTTGTTTATTTGCTGAGAAGCATGGAGGATAATCAGATTCAAACAGTTCCATGGGTAAGTATATGTTAATATGTTTTTTGAACAAATTTGTAAGGGGCCAGATGCGAACCATTGTCCGGGAAGGGAAATGTACTTAAAACGTGGTTTGATGTCACTGGGTTGAAGGCCCAAGTGCTATATGTTAATATGTTATTTTTATGGGTTTACTACACTTTTTTTTATTATAAATGTAAATAAAAAAATGTAAAATTTGATATTAGTTTTAAGTGTTAAGTGAATTTAATTGAATAGTTAATAAATTAAATATTGATTTTCATTTGTACAATACAAAGTTATGACACAAAAAGTGTATTTAATATACCTTAAGGCACAAGTTAGACAAAACCCTATTTTTATTAATACATGCTGCTCTATCCATTAATGTTCTTATTTAGTGCATAGACATATAGTTTCTAAATTGATATGGTTACCAAAAATGATATATGATCGTCACCTGCCCCTTCGCCTATTAAATCTTTTTTTATTTTCTTTTTGTTACCAAAAAAAATAAGAGTTTTATTCATGGCTAAGCATTTTGTACAGAGTAACGCAGGAGTAACTGCATGCATGATTGTGCCTGAGGTTCTTAAAGAAGATAATTATGAAAGGTGGTGTGTTTTCATGGAACACTATTTAGTGGCTCAAGACCTTTGGGATGTTGTTCTATCAATTGAGATGCCTAAAGTAGAAGATCCAAGAGGTTGGATTAAAAAGAATGCTTTAGCTTTGCATGCAATTAAGATTTCATGTGGAGCAAAAAGCTTTGATCGAATTAAGAAGATGAATTCAGCCGAAGATGCGTGGAATGCATTGGCTGATTTGCATAAACAACCAGATGAAGATGCAAGTAGCGGAAGCGAAACCGATACAGGTTTAATTCCCATCTTTATCTGTCTAAAACATTTTTCTTAATGTTTGTCTTATCTTAATGCCTTAGAAAAATATTGCTTTTAGCCTTCCAACTTAAGTTAAAAATAACTCTTGATTTGGCCTCCCAAATTAACAAAATCCTGGTTCAAGAAAGGTTTTTACCAAATTAACTCTTTTATTCTGTCTTTGAAATGAAGAAGTTAAGGAAACTTGTACAAGGATACTGGACAACAATAAAAGGGCTGAAATTGTGAGCTCACTCCAAGATGGGAATTGGGATGCCCTAAAAAACTTGGACAGAATAACCGAAATAATTTTTCCTGGCGGTACCACTGCTCTCCATATTGCAACTACTCTTGGTCACTTGAAGATTGTCAGTGAATTGGTTAAGATAGCAAGAGAAGACTACTTGGAAATACAAGACAACAACGGTGATACGGCTCTTTCCCTTGCTGCTTGTAATGGAAAAATGGAGATAGCAAAATGCTTGGTCCAAAAGAATGATAAATTGCTTACTATTCTGAACAATCGAGGATATGCACCACTTGTGGTGGCGTGCGTTAACCGCCAGATGGATATGGCATCCTATCTCTACTCCATAACTCAGAATGAATTCTTACTTTCGGAAAATAGCAACCAGGGAACCTTGTTCCTTAAGTATTGCTTACTCAATTCCATGCCTGGTAAGAGTTGGTGGCTGGTCTTTCTCATTCTAAGCTCTAATTCGTCGTTAATTCTCATCATATACAATTTGGATTAAATGTCTACTCATGATTTTGATATGTTGTTACTTACATGTCGTGATAACAGATGTTGGGTTGGATCTATTCCTTCGTTATCCGCACTTGGCAGCTGGTAGAGAATTTGTTACTATTATTGAATTGTCTAATCAACCTTCTCTATTCCGTAGCAGAGCAGCACCCTTTTTCTCTATCGATGTTTCCCTTTGGTATTCATGTAGGTATCACTCTCCTTAATTTTTTCCTCGGTTTTCATTCTCTACATATTAATTTGTGTAAGTATTTAGGAAGATAAATATATAAAGGGTCTTTTAAATTTGTGCCTTTAAATGCATTTATTATATTTTTTTATTATTAATTTATATAAAAAATTACAAAAGTAAACTTTATTTTCTAACACTAATACTATGGGAAATAAGTTAATTGAAGCATTAATAAAGCTTAATCAACTTTTATTTTTTGCATATAAATTAAATGATAAAAATGTGCCATTATTAGGGCACAAGTTAGAAAATGACTAATGTAATACATAAAGATCTAAACTTCCACTAAATTCGTAATTAAGATTTTAAAGTTTTACTATGTTTAATTAAGGTCTTAAAGTTTTTTAAATTCTCAAATAAAGTCTCAATTAGATGAAACCATTAGGTGAGTTAAATCAGTTGGTAACGCCATTAAGTTGAATCTAACTGGTAACAAAAAAAAAAAAAATTTCTAAACTTTTAATTTTACCTCTCAAAAACATCAACAAGCTATTAAACTTACTTTTGTCGTTTTGTTTATGAAGAAATTTTTGTGGGACCCACAACAAAAAATTGATGTAGCATGTATGTAGGCCTCAATTTTTTTTTTTTCCCATGAATAGATTTACTATGCTATGTGGAAACCACTCAAAAATTTTGTTATGGAAAAAAAAAACTTAAAATTTGTTAATGATTAATTTACTTTATAATGAATCACTTAGAGGATAATTAGTAAATTATTTTTTTATAGAGTTAAATAAATAATATTTATGTGATTTTTTAGAAACTTTTGTTTATATGTATGTATTTGAGAGTGAATGTTCAATTTGAGTGATAAATATACAAAAAATATGAATTTATAATAAAATAATATTAATTGTGATAATATGTATTAAAATGAAAATTTCTAGTGTTCTTTATTGTGCATGCTATTAGAGAACAGAAACCGGCATTGAGACTTCAGTCTTGAAACTAGGCAATCCCTTTGATTTTGCAGAAACCTTACCAAACAGCTGAAAAATGCTGTTTATACAAGCACCGTAAGATCACAAGCTCGGACACAATGGCTTTCCGATCTTTTTATTA